ATAAGCATAGGAGAGAGAAAAATACCAAATTCCCTATAATTTGTTCTAAGGACAGTGCTGCCTAAATGCTTCATGCGAGTGTCATAAAGACTGAATGCTGAGAATAAATGAAAAGCGAAAAAAAAAATAATAACTGTTGCTAAAATTGTTCAAAACAGGAAATCAAAAGATAATGGTAAAAGTCATCTTGAAGTAAAAAATCTTCGATAACAAAATATATAGAAATTGGTCTTACTAATCAAAGCTAACATAATATACAAAAGAAATTCAGCACATATAAATTAATTACCAAATCTTTGAAGTCAAAGAGTCGAGAGACAAGAAACGAAATGCAAACCACGAAAGAGCCAAGGAAAACAGTTGAGAATAGTTTAAAAAAATATATATGAGGGAGAGAAATCCAAGATTGACGGTTTTGGAGAGTCGAACCTTTAGCTTAACTCTGATTGCGGAAGTTTCCTTCATCTTCGAAAGAGTGGAATGCCAGAGGACTACATCCCGGTAAGAAGGAACATTATTGACGTTAAAGAGCGTGCAGTGGCCCAAATAGTTGGAGAAGAAAACAACCGTCCGAGGAAGCTAGGGAAAGTGGAATACGAGAGGCCTACATTCCGATAAGAAGAACTAAACGTTATTGACGTTATAAGAAGTGAAGAGTCCAAAATAATTGAAGAAGAAACCTACCGCCGTTGGACAAGAATAAAAAACCGTTGGAGTCTGTCGGTTTTATCCATCATTCTATTGTGCATCAATCTTAAGAATAAAATAGACAAGATGAAGAAGAAGAAAATAGAGAAGGAAGGAAAAAAAGCAGATAAGAAAATAGACAAGATGAAGAAGAAGAAGAAAATAGAGACAATGAAGGAAAAAAAACAGATAAGAAGAAGGGAGAAAGGGAAAAAACAGAGAAAAATCAGGGGAAAAAATTGAATAAGAAAATAAAGAAGAATAATAAGAAGAAGAAATGGAGAGGAAGATGAGGAAGGAAATGAGGAGGAAGAAAAGAATAACGAAAGGAGAGGAAGAAGAAAGAAGAAGAAATGGGTAGAAGTAACCTGTGCGTGAGAGAGGGCGAGAGGGGGAGGCGGAGGCACCATTGACAGAGAGATGCGTTTCGTCTACAGTAAGCGCAGGTTACCTGTAGATCGGAGAGAGACCGAACGCAAGAGATGAGTTCGGTCACCTGACGCAATATGGCCCGGGAGGAACCGGAGGGCCTCGTTCCATCCTGGCGTGCGAAAAACGGGAGAGTTTCCCGGCCGGGCTGGGTAAGGGGTTCGGCCGTTCGGATCGGCGGCCCGAGAGGAAAGGGGAAGGAAAAGGAGGGCTTCACCCTCCTCGTCCAGGCCAAAATTATTGCATCAGGTCGAACCGACATAATGAGAATGTCCGTTCGGGTTCTCTTGGCCCCGCTTTTTTAACTACTGCTACAAGGCAATCAGGTTACTATAGAAGAGAGTGACCGAACGCAGAGATGCGGTTCGGTCAACCTGACGCAAATAATTTTGCCCTCGTCGCCCCCGTACTGGGGCGTTCTTGATTAGAAGAATAAAGAACGCAAAATGAATTTCGTTATGCCCTTCGAGTGAACCTGATAGCATAGATTAATCGATGGCGAGAATTTATTTAGTAGGTAGTATAATACAGTATAGATAGTAGTATAGCATATAATAATCGCTAAAGAATAAATTATTATATTTAGAAAATATTAAGTAACTTTATATTATTTTTATTATTTTTGTATAATAATAAATTTATATTTAATAGCTTGATTAAAATAATATGTTTGATATGTTTAATGTTTGGGGTTAAATTTTATGATTATGGTATGCTAAACATTGATTTAGGCCTAAGAATTTCATAAAAATTATAAATCTAATTACAGCCAAATATTTATTGAGTTTGAAGTGTTTAACATCCTCTATTCCGAATAATTTTGATGATTACCCCACATAGGAATTATTTGATTTGAATATTCAGAATTAACAATTCTACCCTTCAAATCCTATTCGTCCACCAATATCCCTATGGCTCAAGGAACTCAACACGAACTAGAGCAAAATATAATTAATGTAAATTTATCATAAATTGTTATTAATTGTAAGTATGATTAAAATTGAATAGACATTGAAATCAATTACCACTAATGCTCATTGTGATGGCTTTCTTACCCGTGCCATGCTTCTTAAAATAGCTTTTTAGTATAAAATTTAAAAAAATTGTACTAAAAAGCTGCTTCAAGAAGTAGTAAGAAAACCGTCTCAAATGAAGCCTAAATTTCTTGCGTAGGGGGCTATTTGGTTGGTATAAAGTCGTGTTTAATGTTCCTTTTGTAGGGATTTTGAAAATAAGCGTGCTTAGTTTCATGAAAAATAAAACCATATAAAGTATTTCAAATCTAATGAAAATTATTCTAGTTCATTTTTAAAGTAAAATTCTCTCAATTTTGAGTGAAATTTGTTTTTACTACAACTATGCTTCTTTGTCACTACCCTGTTGGCTATAACCCCCACCATTAATTGTCGCCAACCACCGTCCTGTCGCTGGATATCACCTTCGCCACCGAACACTCTTCATCACCGCCGCACTGGCGGAGGCAGGGTGGGGGGCCCTGGGGGCAGGTGCCCCCACTGGCCAATGAATTTTTTTTTTTTAATTAGGTAATGTATTTGATAAACATGGTTAAAACATAATTAGGTCTATTAGCATTACTCTAAACCCTTTTCGTTACTGTTGTTTCTCCCGCAAGTCTGAAGCTACAGCCCTCAAGCCATCTGCACTCAAAAATAAGATTAATTCTTGGTATTCACATGAAGCTCTATCTCTCTCTCTCTCTCAAGATTTGTTACTTTTTCTCTTTCTATCACTTTTTTGTTTTTTATGAAAACGAAATTTAAAATTATTTGTTTATTTGCTATAAATGTGTATAGTATCATTAGATTTTTACTTTATATTTCATCCGCTGATTTGATGAAAAGAGCATTCACTTTCTATCAAAAATGTCATATCAAAGCAAAAGGCCTTCAAGCACATTACAATCTCAGTGTTTTTATAGCAGTTCCATAATTTTCGGGAAGATACAATAATAATTTAAACAACAACATCTCATTCTTCACGTATAACAATCTTCTTTCTAGTAGATGGTATCCTTTTCCATACATTCAATTTTACATGAAGTATAATTCTTCATGAATCTTAAATTTTAGTAAATCATTTAGGAATCGTTTGGTACGGCTTTCTTATTATTTCTTAAAACAAGTTTCTAGTACAAAAAATTTAATTTTTATACTAAAAAACTATTTTAAGAAGCAGTAAGAAAGTTGTCCCAAACGAAGCCTTAATCTCGGTGCAACTGTGAACGTAGAATTACTTAAACCGAAAAATATAAATTTTGATGTTCTCTTTTACGCCGCCTAATCTCTTTTATAATTAATTCGTGGTCATTGTGCTTGCCTTTAGGTCGAGATTCAATCCCCTTTCCTAACACCAACCTTACATTTGATTTACTCTTCTCTCCAGATACACTTTTAATCAAACACCTATCAGTTCCAAGAACTATATCTCATAAAGATGGGAAACAAGCACCAACACCATCAAGGACAAATTCAAAGGAAGCTTAAAAGAAGATTGATACTAATTCAATCTTAAGAATAACTTGAAGGCCAGATTAAGGAGGGATTATTCTATGCGGATGTCGAATGTAGCTCTACATTCGAATGCCAATCAGAATGAGCCATGTCAGTCATACCAAGCCTCGATACAGAGTGGTACCAACCCTTGATACCACGGTATCGAGGGATACCGACCGCGGGCTTAGGTATCCGGACGGGTTCCGCTTCCGCACAGAATAATTTTTCCTGTTTAAAGGCCTCATAAGCAACTATATTACCTATCAAGCAAATACTTCTATAACTTGGTTTATTTTGGAAAAATAATAGCATACAAGCCAGGAACAATCTAGTTACAGTCAGGCTTAAGAAAATCAAAAAACTTGTGATCAATCACATAGAAAATGTAGCGCATATATTGCTGTTAATTGTAAACTTATAAAACATTGTGATCAAATACCTATAATATTTATCATTAGCAATAATCTCCATAATTAACATGTAATGTTAAAGCTGTTAATGGATAATATGATGATTTATGTTAATCTTTGGAGTTTTAATGTATGAATAAAATGTGCAGCTTAAGTTTTATCTCGTCAATTTTTATAATTTTAGGCTTCATTTGCAATATTTTTTTGATGTACTTATCTAGCCAAAAAATTTTAATTTGAAATTTTTACACATAAAAGTTGTTTAAAAAGTAGTAAGAAAATTACCTCAAATGAAGCCTTAAGTCTTCGTTTGAGACAACTTTTATATTTAACATAGCTACAGTTTGCCAAAAAATAAGCTTATCCGACATATTGAGTAAACAATTGATAGCTTTGAAAGTTTTCCTTTTTGTGCTCATTAACTTAATAAGCTGTTCCTCCCTTTTAGAAATCTTTGTAGGATTAACATAAAAAAAAAAAAGCTGTTCCTCCCTTTTAAAGTTCAAAATCAACATCCTATAACTGATATAAAACAGCAGCACTAAACTGCTTTGATTGTCAAAATATACCAAATCATCACAACTTACTTTTTGCCCCTTCTCCTCTTAGGAGTTACTGCCAGTGCCCTGGAAGCACTCTTTCCTTCAAGCCTTTTAAGATCTTTTCTCACCATGACACTGGCCATGCCCTTGCGAGCTACAGCTTTTCGATCCACTCTTCGGTTGAGAAGCTTGCGATCAAGAGGCCAATACGCATAGGGCTCCAGCTTGCCTTTCTTCCTCAAATCACCACCAGCTTTTTTGCTGGTGTATTCAACACCTGTGTAAGACCAACCAGACTCCGTCTTCTGGCGCTTCCTCTGGGAGCTCAATAAAGATTTTCTTGACATGCGGCTACTTGTTAAGCTTCTTGTATCAGAAACAGGATCTGAAGAATTTCTCTGCTGCTTGGGTTTGACACAATCATCGCGAACAATGAGACGGCCATCATTATCCATTTCTGGCTCGTCGTCGCAAGCTTCCACTTTCCTATTGGGCTTTGATGTCGACAGAAGAATC